AGTGGCAGATTTAATTGCTGCAAGATGTATTGTGGTGACAATAATAATAATATAAATTTTCTCCTGTATGCCCCTCCTGAACACCCTTTTTCCTTTAGTAACTTAGCGTCTGGCAGTCGGCTGTTGGTTGATTTAGATGTACCTCTTTTTCCCCCCTAGTTTCAGCTGGATCCATTTCTGAGGTGGACAGGCGGGGATTGGTACGTACGAATCTGAAGACATTGATTCGGTGATACTAATTAGTAGTGGGGATGGTGTTTGAGGCTTTTAGCTTTACTAACATCTTGTAGAAGTTTTGGTGTGTTTGTTCTGTGCATCTCATTATTGATTAAGTGAACTGTGATGGGCTTTGTAGGTTGGTTTAAGGCTTTTATATGCATGATTTATTTTCATTTCACAAAGGTGATGTATATGTTTGTACACTATTTAGTGGATATTGCCAAAAATAAAATATTGAACGTAGATAATCATTGAAATATGTGACTTAACATTTTTATCAATGTCATAGTCATAGGGTACATAGCCATTGCAGAAATTCTGTAATTTATTGTATTGATTATTTTATGCTAGATTTGGAGAAATTACATAATTTTGTAGTCTGCCAGCATGGAAAGCATTGATTAAAAAATGTAATTTTTTTTCAAATGTGTGTCTGAATCATCTGATGACTAAGCAAAACAGTGAAACAGAATCACACTTGTAAACTTCAGTGCTCCTTTGCCCTCCTTATCTGCTATCATCTTGCTATGTTATATGTTTACTACGGTAGTATGTTCTGTAGGTTTCAAAATATACCAAAATTCCCTTCATGAGATATTGTAAAAATGAGGTGGCATTTTTATGAGACTATTCCTCGATTAAAACTAGACTTTAAAGTAATGTCAAATAATTTTTCACATTTTCATTTTGTCAGCCATTATGTCTTCTTTGCATTATCTGTCTATCCACAGCTTTCTTGTATGTCTTTATATAACCCCCAATTTATTTACATGAACATCTAACATTATAACTTCTCTCAAAAAAGCAATTTATCGTGAAAAAGAATCCACAAGCATCATCAGCTTTATGCGAATAACATTTGTTGTTATGTTCTTTGTTTAACAAGGTATTTGCATTTGTTTATTTTACATTGAAAAGTGAATTGTTGTTAGGTTCATTGTGGTATCTGAAGTCAGATAAGCTTTATATCTGCAGTAAATGAATATCAAGTGTGCAAAACCACACAGAATAGGTTTGGAAAATGTGTTCTCCAGATTGGATTACACGTTTCCACAGTTTATTTTAAATCAATGAACTCTAAAATATTAGTGAATCAAGGAGGAGAAATCAGGAAATTTAAACTTCTACTGCAATAGCAGACTGTTTACTGTTTGGGTTCCTTCATATGATGCTGCTCTTATTTAAAATTATGTTAACATTGGGATTTCCTTTTATTTATTAATGTGACATTTACCGTAACATTGTGATGTTGTGTGGCATGTATATTGCTTGTGTAGTAAATAACCTGCTTGAGTGTAGCCAAGCCATTCAGTAGAATGATGGATGGTAAGCTTGAATGTTCTGCCAATGTTCTAGCATCATGTAGTAGTGCTGCTTCTGTTGTTGCAGGTGTTTGATACAGTGACTGTTGTATGTTCTCGGAGTATGACAGTTACGTTAACTCTCTCACTGAGAAACTTGAATTGGGTTCTCACTGAATGCCATATGGAAAAGTGTGACACTTGCAGTTGTAAAAAAGAGAACACTAAAAGTTGGATAAATGGGTTTCTGTATGAGGGCATTTCCAGCGCACTGCATGAGGCAGAAAAATGTTGACTTACGTTGGAAGATATTTGGACATATAATAAACTGTAGGAAATGCCATCATCTTAAATGCTGAATGCACATAAGTGAAAGGGAGAAACAAGGAAGGCAGTGAAAAGATCAGATTGTGGTTTTAATAAAGTGCTATAGGATCTATGAAAAAATAAAGTTGACAAAGAGCATGGTATGTCACAGGTGGGTGCATGTTTGGTGTGTCTCCACACATGCACTTCTTGAAACCATTTTGGTGTTTACATGAAATTTGAGACATTTACAACAATGTTAATTTACATCCACCCTCAAAATGGAGGCAGTGTGTTATTCTGAAACATTAATTACCACTGACAAAAGTACAGTGGTATAGCCCAGAAGGTCACAGTTTGAACACTTTGATATCTGCTATATACCAAAACGGGACATCATACGAAGAAAATGTTCATAAAGAAGTTTTGTATAAACATTTTCCAGTCTTTTCAGTTTTATTTATATATTCAAGTTCTTCTTGGACAAAGTCAGTTTGATCATGAAATTCTTGTGTGTACTGTAAATAAAAATATTATAAAGATTCATTAACATGTGGAGATATTGAATATGCAATATGCACAGCCCCTCTATGCATATTACATTTATTCTTTGCAGATGTTATGCCAGTAAGCTCAAAGTAAGGCTCAAGGTCTCAGTTTTATAAGTTGGCATTTATATTTCTATTGGATTTTATATAGTACATGTTGATTCACAATGAGTGAGTTATAATTTAACTGTTGTTTTAGAACATTCGTATTAAAATGTGTTATTAGTTCGTGTGGGAAAGTGTTTCTATTTTTTAAGGCATACAGGATAAAAGTGTCCAAAGACGTGCACAAGAAAGGAATAGAAATTGAGGTCTGAGTTTGTATTCATAAAAGTTACTTTCTTGATATGTGTCTTTAGACTATCACACTGGTAAGTTCACTTTTATCCTGGTTTATCTTGTTTTTACATTCATTTAATCTTTGTAGTATAGTTGTTTGCAATTTACAAATTGGATAGGGAGGTTTACTATTCACTTTCATTTGGAGAATTTACGTAGTAAAGTGTGACTACATTTTAGATAAGTAGCATTCAGATTGTGGTCCAAATGCCACACGGACCCTGAAGTCTTAAATGTGTTTTCCTTAAGCCCCCTTATTGGAAGTCATAAATTGGGGATAACACTTCTACTTTTTATTTGGTGAGTACTTTGATTTTTTAGCCAGGGCTTGCTGTATCCTGACAGGTTTTCCATATTTTTTTTTCTTATTTTCTCCAGGCTAATACTCTGTTTCAGTTCTTGCAAATTTTTCCTTCTGCATATTTCTGTCTTGCAGTTGTTCTCACCCATATAACTGGATTCATTGTAACCTTGCATCACTGCTTTCATACAGCTGATTTCATTTGCACCATCGAGAGAGCAGCCTAACAGTACAATACTTAGATAAAAACATACTGTATGGGAGAACAGTCTTGAGTACCAGGGCAGACATACAAGTGTACTCTTCAAAATTTGTCACTGACTGCACAGATCTCATCAGAGAAATCTAGAAGGAAGTTTATTTACAGGCTTGGTATATCCTAAATGAAGTGATACACAGCGGTCTGTGCCAACCCAATGTATCCGTGGTCACAAAGGATTTATTAATTCATAATTGTAAACATTATAACTTCTCCCAGATGTACTGAATATCTGTATATATCTGTGTATATATATATATATATATATATATATATACACACACACACACACACACACACACACACCTTTAATCTTGTTAGCATAAGTTTGTGTCTTGTAATGAGATTAACAACATTTGTGACAGTTGTGTTATTTGGTTTGTTTGTAAATCAAGTGCCTGTTAACCTTTAGAATTCTGATATTCCTGTGTCAACAACATTTGCGGGAGGGCTTCGTTATGCTGCCTCATACAGCCCACACTTGCGCCGTTCATTGCCCAATATGGCCCACCCAATGTCCACCGAGCCTGCCAAGATCTACCCCTACCACCTGTTGCTTATCACCAACTACAGATTGCCTGCAGATGTGGACAGACTCAACCTAGAGGTGAGGCATGGGATTTGTGGTATATATTTGTTTTTGTTATCCATTTCTTTTACATTTTTGTCCATATCCATAATTAGAGGTTGTTTTTATGCATTCAAGCCTTTGCCTTACCTGGCATATCTGAAAACAGATTTGTGTAGAAGAATGATTTTACAGTAACAGAACCAACATGTGTCAACTTGCAGTTGATTTTCCAATATTTTGATGTAATATTTGCTGATCAAGTTTACAAAATCTGTCTCTAAATGAAATCCTTCATACACTGCTGTAACCTTCTGGAATGAATGTTTAGGTGAAATCATCTGTGTCTGAGGCTTCTTGATGCCCCTGGATTTAGGATATGGCTCCTGTTCCAATTTTTTAAGCTGCCATATATTCTGTAGATTGATATTAATGTGGTTAAGTAATGTTAATCCAGGCAGGATTTAGAACTCACATTTCCTCTTTTTGAAATGTTTTTGTGATCCTTTTATTTCTTCCTCTTGTCAGGCTATAGAACATGTGTGCAACTCTGAATGTAATCAATCACTGTTTTTGCAGCGTCACTTGTCTGATACAGAATTTGAGGCACTGTTCCAATGCAACCGGGTTGAGTTTTATCGCTTGCCACAGTGGAGACGGAATGACATCAAGCGGCGTGCCCGGCTCTTCTGATGGAACTCCGCAACTTCATTGGACCATACAAATGTACTGTGCTGCCATCTTTGGTTAATTTGCTGCAAATTATTACCTAGTGGTTAGAGGATTACAGAAATCAACATGAACACAGTTCAGCTTAACTAGACATAAATGCACTGAAGGAAATACTCATGCTTTGTATAATAGTTTGATTGCAGATAACATAATTCTTTATGTGATACTTTACAGAACTGTGGGCCAATATGTTAAAATATTTTAAACGTCTATCCAGTAACAGCCTCTCGTCCATTTTCTAGATTTTGTACTGTTATTTCCTTGAGTGATTTCTGCAGTTTGCTGTAAAGAAGTTGTTTTCTTGTTGCTTGGCAGTAAAGTACATAATTTTTTAATTCTTAACAGATGGTGGCACAGAACATGTAAAAGATTTGGTGCTGAATACCTTTTCTTTCTTATAATGGTGCATTAAATTGAACACAGTGGCATTGGTTAATCGGGGTAATAGCAGCCCTCCACATCTCTTTCTGCCCACTTCGTCAAATAGAATTTATCAGAGTATAATGTGAATAACTCAACTTCATCATTGATCTGTGTTTAGTGCTGTTGACCTTGCTATTAATGAGAACTGCTCTCTGCTTTCCTCATACTTCTTAATCTAGTTTTTACTTAATTGATGCATTCAGGATTTTAACATGATTCACATTCAAGGACATTTAACTTATTTCTTTGATGCTGAAACTTGTCTAAATATTTAAGAATTCAGTCTATACCACAAAGAAAACACAACACTTTTCTATTACAAAAAGTAATCTGTTTAAAGCTGTTAGGGAAGTAATTGTTGTTTACACAAAGCCATACAAAGCCGAAGAATACAAAATACAGAATTATTAATTGTTAAGCAGACAGTACTATTAGTTACCACTGGGTTTCAAAGGTTAAAGTTCAAGTAGAACAGTTCTTTGGAAATTAATTGAGCCCAGTTCTTTAATTTTGGTCAGTTCAAAGGAAGTTGAGTTATGATACAGACAAGTTACCATTTGCTCAGTCCCTGTAGTTTGACAGTCATTTAACAAAATTATATGATGTTTGTTATTCACTTTATTGGTTTCCTGTGACTTGGGCAGAATTAAAATTCTTTAACCTGCAAGAACACAAGTGATGGCAGTGTGAGGCCGAAGTGTCATCTTTAATATGATGTTTACTTCTTTGTATTGAATGTGTATATAGTATGCTTACCTTTTATATTTTCTGGTGGGACCTCAGTGTACAGTGGCTAATGTTCAGAAAAATGTCACTATGCTTTGATTGCTACGCTTAACATCTCACAATATCAGTTACTTCAAGATGTTGCGTTGTGAATAATGGCTGGTGTAATGTTTAAGAAAACGCCTGTACAAATTGTGAATATTCTCTTCTGGTGCCACATTACTGCATTTCTCCCTCGTCACTTTATGTATTTCTTTTTACCATATTTCACAGGTGCATGAATGAAGAGGTACTTTTGTGCTTTTCATAAAGATTTAAGGCTTTCTTGTTTTGTGAATTAGTCAATCAGGAGGGATATTCACAATCATTAATCTTGAGCAAGATTCTGATTTTGGCCCAAATTGTTAGATTAAGTGGGATTTTTAAATGTATGTATTGCAAAATATTACAAATCTTTAAGCTTTTGGTGCATGTGTTTTTGTCTAGACTTAAATACCTTATGGTTTGTATATTTCATGTATAATACTGGTAAAACCTATAATGTTATTGGTTATTGTATTTTTCTTCTTGATAGTATGTTAATTTAAGTTCCCCTCATAGTCTGTGAATGACAGTTGGTGCTTGCCCACAGTCCGCTCACTCAGCCTTTCATGCCAAAAATATCGGTAATAAACTGTGTGGCTATAAAGTGGTAATGGATAGGATGGTACTTCAAAAAGGTCCTAATTCAGAACAGATTGAGAATTATTTCCAAAAAGTCAAGAAATGTATCTGATGACTATATGCCCCAGTTGTGTTTCTTTTTTAAGTCAGTGCTTTGTTTTTATTTGTCTTATAATTATCTTTATAGAATAATACTTGTCAGAAGTGTTATTACAATATTTATTTTGTGAAAGTTACCAGGAGCCATGAGTCAGTAGAGTGACTGGCCGTTGACTGGGTGGCTGGAGTTTGTTTCCTGACAGAGATTTTGAGTATTTCTATCTTCACTACATACAAAACTCCTTTGGAGTCCAATCAACCCTCAACAGAATGAATGCCAAGCATCAGGTGCATGAAGTGTGAAGTTGATCAGTAACCTCCCACTAGTGCTGAAGTTACCCCTGCAGTTTCTATGCTCACCTTTATGGCATGGTGATTGGCTGCAGCAGTTATATTTCCTGTATCCGTACAACAGTATTGTTAATACTGGATGTCAAATTTATTCCTTAAGACTATGATCGATTTTTCTAACTTGTTTTCCTAGACATCACTTAGGATGTGGATGCTTGCATTTATCTTCATTGCAGCTTCCATTGTTAGGTAATTAAAACCTCCATTATACACGTAACTGTGAACTATGTTTTATATTACTTCAGTGCTTGTCAATATGGGAGTTAATTTCAGTCTCACACTCTCCTAGAATGTAATCTGATGGGGAAGACAGCCTTCATTTTTAGTTTGTTAGTTAGTTACCATGTGAAGCAGCCAGCATAAAAACCCTCAATTACAATTGCATACTTAAAATATCTTTCACCTTGCGTGTCAGAAGATAAGGCATTATGCCACAATGCCCATCCGGTCTAAAGTGACAGCTCAATGAACCATACCACACTCTTGCTTACTTTGTCTATTGCCAGGTGTAATTTTTCATAAGGTTTTCTTGCTATAATGGTGTTATTTACAGTTATTGCACTTAATAGTGGATGGAACTTAATTTCATGTCAGAATGTAGGAATGAGTCATTTTCATGACATGGTGTTTTGTAAGATTTGAGGTTTTCACGGTGGTGAGTCTGAAGCTTGCTGTCTTCTGTGTGATTATGCCGTGTAGTCTGGTAGAAGTTTACCGATGTTTCAGAAGACGGCAATTACCACAGTAGTATAACTCTTTGTTCCCTCTAGGATTGTCTGCAGCTCAATCATTTGTGGGCCAGTTCATCTTCCTTCCTGAAATGTTCTCTTTCCCCACAAGTATGGTTAATTCAACTTGCAGTATAAAATGCATTTGTCTCCTGTCCATTAACCACTGTTAAAACAATTATGAATTTAGAAAGTAATTTCTTGCATTGCTTGGTGGGTGTAAAGTTCATTAGGTTAACGATGATGGAATGCAACAGTCATTTTAAAATAAATTGCAGTAATGTGAAATATTACCAACTATCACCCCTGAACTACTGAACTGACTAGCACTGAAGTGTTTTTATTTATCCTCCTCATTTCTATATATACTTATATTTGTCTGTTCACAGTGTAGCATGCAATAGGAGATTGACAAGGCTGAAGTAACTTCATTACTTTTATAATTACAGGCAGCTCTTCCCAGCTTTGTCTTAATAATATCTTAATTCAGAGAAATTATTAATATATAAAATATTGTAAGCTTCAGGTATAATACTGCTGTATAAACAGGTCTATGTGTGAGAGTGCATAGTTTAAAGGTAATATTGTGCTTAATTGCAAAACAAAAAGCAGTGTGACTGTGACATTTGAGAATTCTGCTGCTTTTTTTTAATTTGTCCTCATAACCAAGACATTGAAAAAGTTTGCATTTATGAAATAATGTTATTGATACAACTGTGGATTGTAGGAATTTTTATCATTTCAGTGAAAGATCAGCATTTTGTAATTGTTCCTACATTGGTTCCACATACATTGACACTATTGAATTTATTCTATTGCTTTTGGTGCTAGTCTGAAAATAGGAATTTATAAAGTTAAAATTTTAGGCAGTATAATATTTTAAATGGCATGCATTTAATTTTAGCCATGTCATATTTTAACTTTAAATTTGGTTCATGAATGTTTCCTGTTTATGTAGAACTCTTGGCATTGTAGTAACTGGTATTGCTCATTTCATTCTGAATTGGATGCTTTGGTTATGGTTTCTTTATATGTGAACTAAACATACTGTAACTGATTGTGGTGTATGTTGTCGCAAATCACGTCACTCCTTTCAGCACTTATTCTTCCTAAGACTTTTTCACTTTTTGTGAGTCATGTGACTCTGTAGGGCCTTTAGTAATTCATTGTACATATAACTGAAGAAGGCTACAGTAGCATTGTCAAGGATAATTTTTATTGCATTTATTTGTTTGTATTTAACATGGTGACTGTATTTTCATAATAGTTTTAAGTTTGACTGAATTATAATTTTGATAGTTTCAGGTTAGCAAAGCCTCATATTTCAAGACTTTGTTGAACATAAAAAAGTATGGTGCTTATTAATTATGACACAGTATTGTGTCACTTAAAGGAAACTGTGAATTATAATTAAACAGTTTGAAAAGCTTTAATATAATATTACATCACAGAAAAAGAAATTTACAAATGATGACAACTCTGACAAAATTAAGAATGTGTAGCATAAGATCAAAGATAACGATTAGATGTGAAAGTGAGATGTGGGTTTTGAATAAAAGATACAACCAACATTAGAAGCAGTTAGATGAGACTATAAGACCATTGCTAGGATTTGCAAATTTGATCATCTGTTCTTGGATGGGAGTTGGCTTTAGAAGCTTAAAATATAACTAGTTCAAGAAGAAAAAGAAGATTACACCACATGGACATAATTCCAAGATTGCATACCTCCTCAGTAAACAATGACTGTCCTGTACCCTCAGTCTGATGATGGTAATTATCTGGTTTATTCTGTGTTATTCCTCTAAAAGTTTATCACTTAGGACTGTGTTACAGTCCTGCTTTACTTCATTTGAGTCAGTTATATAGACTACAGGTGTGATCCAAAAAGTTTACTAATGTGACATAATTTATATTATAATTGATTTCAAGCTTTCATGGCAATTCATTATTTATATTAAACATGTTTTTGGGTGTGCACACCATGCAGAAGTCGGCTCTTTGCTGACCTTTCAGAAGACTTTATTGCCTGTGTTATATGATAGCAATAATTTCTCCTTCCTTTTTATATAATTTGCCTTCATTATCCAAATATAAAATTCTCCAGCATCATAATGGAATAATTTTACAAAAACTTCATATAGTAATGCTTCACTGGAGGCCCACATGAATGTAGTTCAATTCCCACTCTTGCATTTTCATGCTGGTACTGGAACTTGGATAGTTTCAGTTCAAGGATATTTGATCTGAGATTTGTTTCCTCTGGCTGGAACTTCTGCTGGTTTCTAATTTAGTAACATTAGATACTAACATTTGTTGAATTACTTCTGTGAGAGCACATGTCCTTCTAACTTTTGGGTTGGTGAAATTGTGATTTTGGCAGGTTTAATCAGTTCATAATGAGCCAGGATAGGTCAGCCAGTATAGTGACTAGCTACAGGCTTTACAACTGGGTTTCAATCCGCGATGGGGGCAGAGGATTTTTCTCCAGCCTGTGCATCCAGTCCAGCTCTGGGGTCCACCCAGCCTCCTAGCTAATTGGTACTGGGGTCCTTTCCCAGGGCGTGATGCTGACCACTCATCCCCCATCTAGTGCCAAGGTCAAGAATGAGTTGTAGCTATACCACCTCTCCCCCCAAGCGAGTTACATGGGGTGTAGCACGACTACTTTGCTTTATAATAAGTGTATAGCACAATACTAAAATGCCAAGACTGTCTACTACTGATTATGAATGTCACACAAGTATGAATGGAAGAAGGATCGCTTGTTTAGAAAGTGGCTTTAATATCTGAATTTAAATATAATGATTGTAGTGTTTACAGAGGTGATTAGAACCAAGAGCTGTTATGATTTGTATGGTGATTGGTATGTTGGAAGTGCCTCAAATTGTGCACCAATTTTGTAGTTGTATGTTGGTATCAGTGCTGAAAATAGTACATAGCCTTGCATATTTGTCATATGTGCTTCTTGTACTCTTTAATGTGTTGCCAACAGTTGAGGCTTGCTATGTGAAATGAAGTAGAGGTTTCCTTCACTTCAGTGTTTTCTTTAGGTATTCTAATTTGTTAATGCTATTTTGTACTTACTCTTTCCTATCAGACATTCAGTAGTGATCTTCTGGTTGAAGACCAGACTTTTAAAGATATCTTATACTGCTATTAAACATGTTACTTATTTCAAGTAACCTCGTACATGTCATTTGTTTAAGGTATTTTACTCTTATAAACAGTTTTAATTCTGCTTGAAAATATTTCTAGTTCTTATAGTTAATTTTGTAAAAAAAATGCTAATGCTGATACCCACAATTTTATTCTTCTTTTAGAATGCAAAAGTGAAGAAGGTGAATATATTTAAAATATTGCACATAAACCATTGTTTCAAAATGGATTAACATTAATGCAAAGCAAGACCAGCACTGTTGCCAACCTGAAAAGAGAATCTGTGACTTGGAAGTGAAATATGGTTGTCCTCCACCACAATAAGGTTCTGTTGTAGATGGTGGTGGGGGTGTTCCTCTCCCTGTTGCATTTTATTTGTTTATATTTGCCCTTCACTCCCTCTCCTTGGTCCTATATTTGTTTGTGATGGTTGTCCTTCTGACACAGAAGGAATACATACTGATTTGTGTTTACATTTGACATTGCTGTGGTTACATCACTTATTTGCTTTTGATTCCTTTGTATAAATACTACATACAGTAATAAGATGATAATATATGTTATTTTGATGATGCTGTAGATGTAGATAAGATATATTCAGTGAAATAAACTAGAAAAGTTTGCTTCAGTATAGCATGTGGTTCCATACTTATTCCTGTGCGAATTCTTTACTCCTGTAGGTCATCCTGCAGTATCACTGAACTTTTTGAAGTCTGTTGTGACATATTAGACAGTCTCTAAAAAGCTTCATGCATAAGAGAGATCTTGTGATGAGCCACATTCTCAGGTTGCACATGTTGGAATATTTGCACAGATATGTATATTAAATAGGTGGTCCCAAACAACTGATACGGTGGCCTTGGGATTATCAGCCATCTTCAGACTCACCTCAATGTAAACCTCAAATCCTATCATCAATCTTCTATAATAGTGTTCTATTACAAAAAATTTGATAATCTAGAAATTGAATGGTTTTGTGGCAGGATCCTTATGACATCCAAGAACAAGTCCGGTGGCTGACCTTTTTTTTGTATTAGTGGTGTTACCTATTCAGGATCCATACTGAAGAGTAAGTTTGTTATAAAATACTTAGAAAACAATGGCAAAATAATATTAAAGAGCTGAGCAGATTGCTGTTGTGTTAAAGCTCAAACAGTTGTACCTGGGAGATACTGGGTTTGAACCCAGATTTGGTTACTTGCTCTCCCGAAGAGGTTTTTGTAGTTTTCTAAAATGTCACTGTGCAACGATATTATAACCTAATAAACATTACAGTTTTCTCATTTTGTGTGATGTTACATAACTACTGCAGTTGAAATAACATTATTAATGGCTCAAGAAACGAGCTACAATATACCCAAAGTTATTATCTTCAGTGTTTGTGTCTGTTTTTCTCCTTTATCCCTCTGCTGTGTATTATTAAAATCACAAAGTTTCCGAAGTTTGTTCTACTTCTGCCTTCAGGTAAAAGAAGGACTTCATCTTAATCTGCTAGACCCCTTGGTCAAGCTAGTCACAAACCTGGATGAGTTGGACCAGGGTGCCCAGCAGATAGGCTTCTGTTCCCTTATTACCTAAAGATGGAAGTAGAACAAACTTTCGAAACCTTGTAGTTTAAGAACATATTAGGCCTATACACTGGATAAGAGATAAAAACACCTTCAGCTCTACACATTAAATAATTTCTAAGCAGCGTTTTAAATACGCTCAGTTTATAAATAAAGTATAACTATAAATGGCGCGGCAGTTCACTTATCTTTTACATTAGTTAGCGAAGCAGGTCACCTAGCTTTGAGTTTTCCATGTTCTATCCGGGTTACAGGATACGCAAGGAGGTAAACGGTTCAGAAATTAATCGCGGGCCTGTTGGTTTAAACATTTCCAACAGATGGCGAGGCAATTCACTAACCCTTACATTAGTTCATACCCACGCCAATACGTACTTAAAACACTGGTGAAATTTCAGAGTAAAAACTCCTTACTCATTTTAAGAAATATTTGCCTAAAATATTTACCAAACAACATATAATTTCGGCCATTAGAAAAACACGCAGGCCTACGAAATGAGAGTTGTACCACAGAGAGTATAAAATATTGTTCCTCCCTCTTCAACTCGTAAATATATTCAGTTAACTGACAACCACTCCATTGGCTTATTGTCTAATCGTTAGTCACCCACGCCTTTGTCAACTCCAGTCTTCAAGGGTGTACAAACCAGGAAATTACTAGCTAAACGTCTTCAGTAAGTTCGGTTAAGGTATGACACATAAACAACTTTACAATATCTTTCTCTGAATTTGAGGTTTTTTAATTTCTAGATCTAAATTAACCTAACAAATCCCCTACGAATTCAATGAATTTGTGCTTTAAGTTGACTAGGCTTAAAAGCGAAGGAGAATAGCATAATGTGAAACTTAACAGTTTGAATTCAATCAAACATTATCAGGTCTACGTTTTAGTATTTCTAACACCTTTTATAACTATTCACATTTATATTCCTTCATTTTTTGCTCTGTGTTAATATTGTTTCTATTTTGGGTTTGCCTGTACTTGGCAGTTATATTTAATACTGTATATTTATAAGTTTAGTTAATCCGTTTGTGTAATATTATCCATTATTATTTCACTATTATTGTATATATTATCAGTGTTTGCCTGTTATTGGCTTCTTGCTTTTGGCAAACACGTAAATAAATTAATTGAATTGAATTGAATTTATTATTACTCACCCGTTTCGGTCCTAATAGTGTTACAGTAAAATAATAAAGTTCGTAGTTAATGAAGGGACATGGTGGACTTTAGCATGGAAATATCTGACATTAATATGTCTTTAAACAAAGTTTTAATCTATAAATAATTAGTAAACGTGGTGATTTTAATTTATATACTATACAGTAATGGGATTATATAACATGGGCAGGGAAATGATTATGTCATAAATATACAATGTGAGGCATATTAGGATCAAATGTGAGGCACCAGTGAGTGAAACTGAAGGTGGTGTATTGGGACCGAAATGCATATGTAAACAAATGAAAACAGCAAATAACTTCTCTCTCTCTCCCCCCCCCCCCAACCCACA